GGGGGGGGGAGGGGCAGGAGGCACCGCTCTGACGCCCTCCGGGCGTGGCAATGTGTGGCAGGCGCGAACACAAGGCCGGACACTGGGGACCGGCGCAAACGGCCCATGGACTTTCCAAGCCTCGGTGTGACACGCCTCGGCCCGTGAAGGTACGCTCCCCGGCTTGCGCTGCCATCGCGGGCGAGATGCGGCGGGGATTCACGCAAAGTTGCCGGGACGGAGCGCGCGGGAGACCATATTTAAGCGGCGTCAGGAGCCGGTGGCTCCGGGGGCGGAGCAAATAGCACCCCTTTTTTCCGATTCACACCGCTCTCCTTCCCCCCCCCCTCTTCCACCCACAACCACCGTCAACATGGCCAAGTGTCCCAAGTGCACCAAGGAGGTTTACTTCGGTGTGTACCCACTGCCCTTGTCGCACCCCGGCCCCCTCATCCTCCTTTGCGCGCGCCGAACCCCATCATCGCCCCTCCACTAACTCTCTCTCTCTCTCTTTCGCTCGCCTTTTTTGTGCCTCCCCCGACGTAGCTGAGCGCAAGACCTCCCTCGGCAAGGACTGGCACGCCTCGTGCCTGCGCTGCAACCACTGCAACAAGGTCCTGGCTCCCGGCTCCCACGCTGAGAACTCCGGCCAGCCCTACTGCCACAACCCCTGCTACTCCAAGCTCTTCGGCCCCGGTGGCTTCGGTCGCGGCGGTGCCGAGTCCTACCAGGCCTTCGGTGGCTCCTCTTCCCCCCAGTAAGATGGTGCTCACGCGCGCGTGCATCTTCCCCTGCGCCAGCCGGTAGGGGCGTGTATGCCCGTTGTTCTGGCCCACCCGTCGGCCGATACTGCAGGTACCTCTCGCTTCCGGGGAAAAATGCCCCAACACAGCGAGACACACCAAAGGCATCACCCGTGGAGAAAGAAACAGATACCCCATTGGGTTCCCTTCTCCCCCCCCCCCCCCCCCCTCCATGCGCCTCCTTGATGGAGGGAAGCTATGCACATGCCCAATACCAATAAAAAAAACGCCCTCCACAACAACGAAAGCAGGCACATCCCACCCATCAGCCCCCGATTACCCGTGTGCGGGGCTTCGGTCTCCGCCAAAAGAGGAGAGTCCGAAGATCACAGGGCAGAGGTGCGTGCGTGGGCGTGCTGAGTGCGTGCGCAGGAAAGAGAGAGAGAGAGAGAGAGAGAGGACGGAGTAAAGGTGGAGCTGTTCATTCGACGAGAAAGGAAAGGGGACGGCGGCGGCGGCGGCGGCGAGGGAAGAAGGCCCGCGGGCGAAAAGCCTCCATAGTCTCTCACATGTTCAGCGGGATGTGTGCCCCAACGCCGTTCAGGTATTCCACAACGAAGGCCATCTTCGCCTCAATGGAGGCAACCTTCTTGGCCAGCTCGTGCTTCTCCTGCGCCATGGAGTTCAGCATGGTAATCAGCGTCTCGTGGCTCTTCTTGCTGGCCTCAACCTGCTTGGCCAGGGCTTCCGAGCGCGCCTTCTCCTCCTCGAGCTTGCGACGAAGGTTGTCGATGGCCGCCAGAGGAGCGGCCATCTCCCGGGAGACGACCGACTCCAGCTGCTCCGCAGACAGGCTCTCGGTCGAGGTGGCCGACCCGAGGGAAGGCCGGCTGGCGCTCCTCGCCCGCGAGGGAGAATCCCCAGAAGAGGCAGCAGCACCAGCGGCAGATGCGGTCGTGGGGCCGGCGGCGGTCGTCGTGGTCGACGACGGCGGCGGGCCACCAAAGGCAGCCGCAGCGGGGACCGGCGCGCGTGGCTTGCTCCCGGGAGTGGGCTTCCCACTGGTCGATCCGGAAATGGGGGCAGTATCCGACGGACCGAAGGCTCCGGGGGTGGGCTTGTTGGCGGCATCCGCGGCCGCGGCCGCGGCCGCCCCGCGCACCGACGGCGGCCGACGCTGGGCACTCCGCGCGCGGTCCGCCGTCAGATGCCGCAGCCGGGGGTTCTGAGGACCACCGGTCGAAGGGGAGGAGGGCTGACCATCGGACGGGGGGGCGGTCGCGGTGGCCGCGGTGCTGGGCTTGCGGCCGATGGGCGGCGGTGGGCCGGAGAAACCGCCAGCGCCTGCGCCGGTCGGCCCCCCGGCAGGAGGCTTGGTGCCCGTCGGCGGGGGGCCACCAAATAGCGACCGCGCGCCAAACGGCAGGGCAATCCCCCCACTGGGCTTGTCAGAGTCGGGCTTGGCCGTCGACTCGGGGGCGTTGCCAGAATCGGAGGGCTTGGGCTTGGGGGCCGGCTTCGGGGCCGGCTTTGGCAGGCCACCTGTCAGCGAGGACATCTTGTTGAAGCCGAAGAAGCGCCCGCGGCCGGAGGAGTCGCCGGAATTGCCGTTCGAGGCATCATCATTGGTACTCGCCGAAGGGGCCGGCTGCGATGCCGTCGCCGAGGGAGGGGCCGCGGCCGGTGGACGAGAAAAGGCGGCTGGTGGAGAGGAAAAGCCGCTGCTGCTGCTGCTGCTGCTACTGCCGCTGCTGCCACCAGACGCTGAGGCCAGGCCCGGGCTCCCAGCAGACGAGGGGGGCCCGGAAGAGGGGGCATCTGAATCATCATCATCGAAACGCCGGCGGTTGAGCTTGGCCAATAGCTCATTGTCCGGCCCGGCATTGGCCCCGGGAGGAACGAGCACCGGAACCAGCACACCAGAGGGCGAATACTGCGAACGGACGGTCATGCGATTTTGCACGGAAGCGGCTGACATGTTGCGCATCTGAGGCTGCTCATCAGGCTGCGAGGGCACCCGGTGACAGGAGGCGAGGAGGAGGAAGCCCGGGAGGGAGGGAGGGAGGGGGGCAGGGGGAGAGGGAAGAGACAAGATGAGTTTCAGGTCGGGGAAAGGAGGGCGATGCATTCGTGGATTGGCCAGCGGGAATGAGGCACATGCTGTCCATGTGTGCACGCACGTCGGAAGGTGATTCGGCAGGGGGCTTCGGGCGCGCAGCCACCGAGGGAGCCCTCCGCAGGGAAGTGAACGGATTCGGTGGAGTAGACGTATCGATGGCATCCTCCTCGGGAGGGGGGGACTGGGAGAGAGAGAGAGAGAGAGAGAGAGAGAAAGGGAGGGAGGGAGAAGCGGAAGGGAGGATGTCAGCCAGGGAGGGGGCGGGAAGGGGGGGAAGGGATGCCGGGTTGGACATACGGCAGGAACCGGGCGGGGAGCCACCGGCGGCGGTGGCCCGGCGAAGCCAGCCGTCGCCGATGGGGGCGGCGAGAAACGCGAGGCCGGGGTCGGCCGAGGAAGAGGAGCCGGGGGGGAGCCGAAACCAGCAGTACCACTGCCACCACTGTCGACATCCTCCTCTGGCTCGGGAGCCACATCGCCATAACCATCGGGGGCGTCATCGTCCTCCTCTCCAGGTGGTGGCCCAGAGCCCGGGACATACCCACTGGGGAAGAGTTTGATTGAATGGCCATGGAAAGAGCCCGTCAGGCCGTTCTTGAGGATCAGGAGAAGACCATCCTCAAGGTATGGGGGGGGGGGGGGGGGGGGGGAGGTAGTCGAGTCAGCGGAGGCCAAGGAAAAGGCGCACACATGTGTGGACATGCATATGTGTGTCCACATGCATGTGTATGGGACGGGGAGGCGGGACAGGGGGAGGGGGGAGGGAGCATGGAGCGCACCGTGGTTAGGAAGAGTGCCACGTCGCCCTTGTCCAGGTGCAGAGTCCCCTCGCCGGCCGAGTCCAGCGGAGCCAGTGCCTGGCAAAACTGGACCTCTGGATGAAGGTGGGGAAAGGGGACGGCGTGAGTGGGGGGGGGGGGGGGGACGACCTCCGGTACCATCATACAGGAGAACAGGTGCGATGACAGGGCGTACCGGAAATGGGCCGGACATGGGTGGAGGGGATGAAACCGGCCTCATTGCGATGGCGGGCCAGCCACCAGTGATCGGAAGGCTTGTCGATCACGGTCAGCGTATCGCCGAGGCTGAAGCCAAGCTCATCGTCATCAGTTCCATCAAAAGAGGCGATCGCCAGCACTGGAAGAGGAGAAGGAGGAGGGAGGGGGCGAGGAGAGACAGGACGATGCCAGCTCGGCAGTCAGCGAGGTGCTCCGGAGCATGAGGTACAACACGGGGCGAAAGCCATGGGGCAATGGCAGGGACAAGGCCACGGAGGGCGCACCCTCGATCGGCGTGGCAGACATCACAACTCGGGGGGCAGGGACCTGGGGTGGCGGGGCTGGACCTGTTCAGGCGCCACACAGCTGGGCAGGAGGGGCGAAGCACACCACCGAGGCGACAGGGACAGGAGAGGATGAGTAATGTGCAACTGGGGGGCAGGGAAGAGGAAGAGGCCGGAGGCCGGAGGGGGGAGATGTCGCACAAAAAGCTCACAGATTCGACGCCTAGTATTGGGGCGGGGCGGAGGCGGCACGGAGGGAGGGCGGCGGGGAGGATGAGGATGTGAGCAGAAAGTCGCAAGGCCCCAGATCAGCAAGAAGTCAGGGAGGAGGGTGACGAACAGGCGGGCGAGAGGGGGAGGGAGCAAGAGCGGGGGGAGGGCTGTCGCTTTGCCGCAGGGCCGGAGGGTAGGATGAAGGAGAGGCAAGCAAGCGGAAAGGCAGGCGGGCAGGCAGGGGAGAGGAGGGGGGGAATGCAGTGCCGGGGCGCCACAAGCCGCAAGGTCCTTCGGGCGCCCCTCAAATCGTTGACAGACATGCCTGACTGGACACGGCGAAGGCAGGCAGGAAGGCAGGCCACCAAGCGGCAGTGCGAGTGGGGGACCATGGGTCCTAGTGCGCCCGGTGCCGGGCCAGGGGGACCGTCCCCCTGGGGCTGAACGGGGAGGGGGGTGGCTCTCCCCTCTCTCTCTCTCGCCCCCCTCCCCCCCCCCCC